AAGATATAGAGACACCAAATTTTGCACAAAGATGCCTTTTGTGTGTACGCTATACGAGTTTGTTTTACTTTTTTGATTTTCCCCCCATTTTCCCGATTTTCCATTCGTATAATCGTCTCTATCTCGGAGACTATAAGACCTACCAAATTTTAGTCGAAGATGCCTTTTGTGAATACGCAGAAAATGTGTATTTTGGAATTTCCCTCCCTCCCCCCTCTCCCCCCTTTTTACTTGTTTTAACATAAGACTATAAAGAACGGGAAAATCAATTGATATTTGCAGTGGAAAAAAACAAGTTTTTGAAAAGTATTTAAATAAACAAAAAGATAAGAGTGAATATTTCCTTGAAGATACACTTTTTCACTCGTTGGATTCAATTTCCAATTCATTTTTCCCGCGGTAGCTTAAAGAAGGAGCTTTCGTATAGGTTTAAGCTCTTTTTAGGCGTCGAACAACGATCGATGAAATATTTTTGTAACATATGGGAATATTATTGATGCCAATGCTTTCAATGCTCAAAGTGTCGGATTTTTGTATTGATATTCTTGATTTATTATTATTATCTTAACACGACAGTTTGATGTTGTTTTTTTTTTCGCATTATTGTGCTGGATAATCTCCAATTTTCCGAAAACTGCTGTCAAACAAATAGCGGTACACCATTTATAATTAACTGTCCCACCTGTTTTAAATGGTTAATTCGCGATGTGACAAATTTTTCTAAAGAGCAGACAGACGCACTTGCTGACAGACTAATAATGTCCAACCGAATCAATCGGTGATATTTAATATCTAGTCGAAAAAATTTGAGAGATTTGAGGAAACTGTAATAGCTGTTCCGTCTTTTCTATTGAACGACCGCGAAACCAAACTACTTGTAGTTAAGCAAATCCTACACACGAATAATTCAACAACAAAGTGAAAAGCTAAAATATAAATGTAATCAAAAAGATATCTATTGTTAATCAGATTGCTCCATAAATATAAAAATAAATGCGATCATCATTAAGTCGAATCAATAGGGACAGAAAGTCTTTTGTCTTAAGATGGCGATTGAAAGCCATGGACCATAAGCATAAACCTAAGCTGACTCGTAATCCAGCCTGTGCTTTTTGTATTAATGGCTCTTAAAGTAATAACTGACTAAGCCAATTAGTAATATGCAAATATGTTGAGGCATTTTGCAAGTTTTCCAACAGTGAATTGTGCTTTAACTAATAACATTTAATGGCCAACACAATTTTGCACTTTGAGGCATTAGACGAGATGGTCTTTTTGTATGGCCGAGACGAAGAGGCAGGCAGTGCGATAGCGAGAGTAAAACTTTAAGCAAAACTTAGAGAAGAAACAATAACAACAAGAAGCAACCTTACAGTTCAACAGCTGCAACTTATTAGATGCGTCCATCTACTTTATGCAAAACCAAAAACAACAAAGTCCTGCTCTACATGGCCGTGACCCAAGTCCAAGCCTCAAGCCAAAACGTGTGCTCCAGTCTGGTCCTGCAGCTCCTGCAGGGGCCGTATTAAAATAAGCAAAGCAAACTAACAAAATTCGTTTATCAACGCCATGCTGTCTGCAACCCAAGGAAAGTTCAGCCAAGGTGCAAAATAATTTGTTGCAATCAGCTTAGCAGCAGGCGAAGCAACAGTGATAGAGCGGGAGGATGTGGCGAAGAGGGAGAGGTTGCTGGCTGGCAACCGGGCAAGTTTTCAATTTAAGTTGAATTATTATGACCTTAATTAACACGTCGTTTCATCATCAAATGCGCTACATCTTATGCTTTTGTTGTAGATTTTTGGCATAGAAAATCTGCACGTTGTCGTGCGAGGTGGCATGGCAGGGCCAAATAGCAGGTGGCATAGGGGTTTGTTGCTAAGCTGCTGATTCGATTTTCTGCAGACATGCACTTTTCCAGCAGGGACTGACACTGAGGCTGTGAGCAAGCTCACAACTAACTGCCTGGCAAAATTTCTAATCCCTATGCCAAGTAACTGTTGCTGATGCTGTTTCTCTTCCTGGCAGCGCTTTACTAATTTTGGTTTTAATTAAATTCTAACTATGTTGACGTTACTGCTGACGATGACGATGACGATGAAGAGGACAAAACAACGAGCGATATGGAGTCTCGAAATGCCAACATTATTACTTATGTTGCTCAATTTTATGCACCTCTTAATTGAGTGCCAAAATACAAATTGAAAACGGCACAAATTGCTTTGAAATTTCAGGCTATGACGTCCTGACATGAAGGCTTAAAGCGTCGGCAGTGGGCGTGTCACGAAGCAACAGACGGCATCAAGAGATGGTGGACTCGAGGCGATGCCTGGTGCCTGGCATATATTTGTTTTACGATTTCTTTTTAATTTCCCAAAGGTATTTATTTATGAAAAAAAAACGAACCCAGAAACATAAAATAATTTCAAATGTGACGAGGACAACGACGATGGCGACAACAAGTGGAGCAGGCGTACATGTAATTTCATATTTGTAAGCAAACACGCTGACCAGCAATGCGCGTAGAAGTTACAAGGACCTAGAAGGACCAACCAAGGAGCGCAATTGTTGACGCTACAAAACAATGTGATATCTGTGTGTACTCGTACGTATGTAGGCGCTATATGTATGTATGTACGCAGATGTATAGTATGTTTGTATTTCTACTTCCGCTTGGCTAAATTTGTTTACATTTTTGCGCGTTCAGTATTCTCTGTTTTATTCCTACAGTCAAACACCTCCATCAAGGGCCACAAGCGCCATAAAACAGCTGAATGAAGGTTTTTAAAACAAAATCATAAGCCGCACAAATATCATGTCTAACAGGAAAGAGAATTGAGTAACCACATTGAGAGCAAAACTTTACCCACCGAGTTTGGTGTCCCTAGAGACTTAAAAAAAACTTATAAATACCAATTTTGGCTGCGATTCATTCGAGGATAATTTATACAGAAACTATATGATATAGTGCACCGATTTCAATGAAACTTCAGATTATGTTGGGACATTACAAAGAAATCATAGGCAAATTTGGTTGATATCGACGTATATTTTGGGTACAGGGTATAAAAAATAAAAGATAAGTAATAAATATCGCGATGAGAAAAGGTTGAAAAATCTTTGGACTTTGCTAAGTATACTTTTATTATTATTAACTATTCCATGATCATGAATTGCTTTTTGGATGTTGAATGCTTTATGAGTTCAGTCGATATAACAATATTTTTTGCTTATCTGTCTTAAAAATACAAACATATTCGGAGCCGATTCTCCGATTAAATTCAATAAAACGAAAATTTTTTTTTACCTATGAACTGCAAATGCACAGAATTAATTTTTAAAAGGGGGTTGGGCTAAGCGTGGCTTGACTGTACTACATAGTTGATAGATTCATGAAAATGGAAAAGTTTTTAGGCTTCAAAAACAACAAAAGCTAATATAGTTAGAGAGTGCTTTCCGAATTTATTCAAAACCCAAGAGTTGTCATTGAGTAAACGAGCTTCAAAATTGATATATTGCCTTAAATACCAATTAAAATGTTTTTGCACCCCGTATTACAACTATAGTTTGGAGGCTCCACTGTATCCGTACATACTATATATGGGTTTTCTCACTTTGCTAGCGACTCATAATTTCATTTCGAAATGTTTTTGACAGTTTCCGTCGTTGACAAATGACAAACATACATACATAGATTTGAAATAAAGTCGTCTAAGGAATTCTTATTAGAATACAATACAGCTTAAAGAACAACAACCAGTATAGCAACAACAAAGCCAAAACTGCTCGCCCCATTTAACAGGAAAACCCTTCACACAACGCGCACGTGTTTTGAATACACTGACACCCCAATCCACAAAAATTTTGGTAAAGGAACACGACTTAATTACATGGCAAATGAGTCGGCGACTACGACTTTGTGGTTCATTCAAAAAAGTTTTTAAAAGGCAAAAATTAAATGGGCGTAAAATTGCCGTTAAGCATGGACTGCATTTTAATTTGTATATACATATACTTACATATGTATGTATATATGCACATACTATACATATATATAGAACCAACTTTTTTCGATGCTTACCCAACGGTTACGATTAATTAATTAATAGCCAATGTGTCCAATTTGCAATTTGTACACTGCTCTTATTTTTAAACACCACATCAAGTTATTCAGTTCGGTTATAATTAACTAACATACTTTTTTACTAACTTGCTCGAGTACGCTTTAACTTGCATTTTTTGCCAGGATGTAATTGAAGCTTTTTGCTAACATATGTATGTATGTACATGCACCTAGCTATGCTAATAGAAGTTTGCATTAAGATCTGAAATTTGATGAGAGGTTTCTTAATGCCTTGCGAAGCATAACAAACTCAAATGTTTGCTGCTTTTATTTCAGAAATATCTAAAAAATAAAATGTATAAGAAGTTGGTTCACTTTGTACTTACATTGGTCTGCATTCAAATAGAATGCGCCAATTGTTTATTCATGTCATCCCCCAATGATTTGAACACAATAATATATAGCCGCGGAAAGATTCTAAAACAGATTATTGGCAACAAACGAACTGGCAACACCACATTCAACGCTTCTGTAAATTGCATTTGATGAGGGCTGCCACATCAAAAGAAAAGAATAAAACATTCAAATGATATCACTTGATACTTGCAAAAATGTGTACCAAAATAATAAGTTCCCAAAACATCCGTTAAACCTGCTTTATATTAAAAGAACAAACAAACCAAAGTGCATATACACATTCAATTAAAAGAAAATTCCTATCAAACATCTCCAACACATTTTAGTCTTTTAGCAAATTAAATAAGACGGGTCTTGCCGTACAACATTAAAATAGTCAGCGTCGGCGTTTTCGATAACGATTTCTTCGGTGCTACCCTGGCACTCAAAACTAACGGCGCGAATATTGTGGCGTCGCTTGTTTATTGTCACACGCGTATTATACGTGCAGAGTTTATCAGGCAACTGAATTCGAAAAAGAAAAGTACACAAATATTAAATATAAAAATATATCAATTTGTAATGGAGTCACGTTTGCCAAAGCCGTCAGGCATTAAACGCCCCGGGATGGTATCTAAAATAGTAGTTCCAATGGATCGAATAAAAGCCTTTGGTACGGTGGGTGGAGGCGCCGGATCAGGATTTAACGCAAACCACAGCTTTTTGAGTGCTGCAAGGCCACTCACCAGAGATTTGAACAACTTCCCAAACGAGTTAGCACAGCGAAGAGGTAAGTAAAATATTGCGAGTTCCTTCAAAAAAACACCACAAAAACAATTTCCTTAAAAGGACGGGCCGCCTCGCCGGAGCCTTCAAAGACCTTCAATTTGCCAAATCGCGCAAAATTGCGTAGAAGTCGCTCAGCCTGTGACATAAACGAAATGCGTCAAAATACGTTCAAACGCGCAGCCGCACCTACTTTGCCTACCATACCGGCCAAGATAACACGACCCGCCACGGCCACAACGAGCACAACCGGCACAAGATCGACTGCGCCATCACAGCGTTTTCAGCGTGCCGGGTCAGCAGCGCCTTCCACAACCACATCCTTCGCGTCCAGACGTGCAGCTGCGACTGCAACAACAACAACAGCGTCGCGTGCCCCAGCACGAGGCGCTGCAACAGCTTCAAGCACTATCAACAAATCTAAGGCTATTAGCGGTGGTGCAGCTGGTGGTACAGGGGCAACTGCAGCACCGGCGCCGAAACGAATAGCGCCATATGATTTCAAAGCGCGATTTCACGACTTGCTGGAAAAGCACAAAGTGTTGAAAGCCAAGTATGAAAAGCAAGTGGAGGATATGGGCGAACTGGAGTCGCTGCCTACACAACTGGAAGAGACCCAAACCAAACTAATAGACACAGAGTCGACACTGAAGAATGTTCAAACAGACAATGAGTGCCTACAGCGGCAAGTTAAGATGCAATCTGAGAAAATCGACATTGTTACTAGCTCGCTAGTCCGCACCAAAGATGAACTTTCGCAACTACAGGCGGAGCATCAGGTAAAGTAATTACAAGTTATGTTAATGGACATTATTCTAAACTATGTTTTCTCAATACACAGAGCATTAAAAGCGAGCATGCAACACTCTCGATAGAAGTCGAAGAATTGCGCCTTCGTAATGAGGAGCTCATTTCTAGCAATGAGCAGTTATCGCATGATTTGGCCGCCTGCAAGGAACAACTCTTTCAATCAAACATAGAGCGCAAGGAGTTGCACAATACTGTGATGGACTTGCGTGGCAATATACGCGTCTTCTGCCGTGTTCGGCCGCCTTTAGACTGCGAAGAAAATCGACAGCTGTGCAGCTGGTCGTATATGGACGAGGCTACCGTTGAGATACAGAGCCTCGATGGTCAAGCTAAGAATAAAATGGGACAACTCACCTTCAGCTTCGATCAAGTGTTCAATCCGTTGTCAACGCAAACGGACATTTTCGAAATGGTCTCGCCTCTTATTCAGTCCGCTCTGGATGGCTTTAACATCTGTATATTCGCCTATGGCCAAACGGGCAGCGGCAAGACCTACACCATGGATGGCGTTCCCGAAAGCGTGGGTGTTATTCCCCGCACTGTAGATCTCCTCTTTGATTCCATCAAGGGCTATCGCAATCTGGGATGGGTATATGAGATCAAGGCGACATTTCTTGAAATTTATAACGAAGTGCTATATGATTTGCTAAGCAATGAACCCAAGGATTTGGAAATACGAATGGTCAAGAATAGCAAGAACGACATCTATGTGTCCAACATAACCGAAGAGACGGTCAACAATCCGAACCATCTGCGCCAGCTTATGCACACCGCTAAAATGAATCGGGCGACGGCAGCAACAGCGGGAAATGAACGGTCTTCACGTTCGCATGCCGTTACCAAGTTGGAACTGATTGGACGACATGCGGAGAAGCAAGAAATATCTATCGGATCCATTAATCTCGTTGATCTCGCTGGCTCGGAGTCGCCTAAAACGAGCGTGCGCATGACGGAGACCAAGAATATTAATCGTTCACTTTCCGAACTCACAAATGTAATCTTAGCGCTGCTTCAGAAACAAGATCACATACCTTATCGTAATTCCAAGCTGACGCATTTACTGATGCCGGCGCTTGGCGGCAATTCAAAAACGCTTATGTTCATCAATGTGTCACCATTCCAGGATTGCTTCCAGGAGTCTGTTAAGTCGCTTCGGTTTGCCGCCTCCGTCAACTCCTGCAAAATGGCTAAGGCAAAGCGCAATCGTTATATGAACACCTCGTTGGCCACTAACACCAGCAGCAGTTCTCTGGACAAGACATAATCATCGTAATTATTTTTTGTATTTTGCAATTGAAGCTACAGTTTTTATTTAAACGCACTTATCTTGCTTCGCGTTATTTCTTTGTAAATTTTAGTTCTATTAACGTTTCTAACCGTTTTCAATTCTTCAAAAGTTCTCTTCCTATTTTATCGTGTCATATCTGTTATCGCTTAATTTATATGTTTACTTAAGTGCAAGGGAAATAAACGAATAAAATGCGAACAAAATGCGTCACAATCTATTCAGTTTGTTTTAGTCGCCTTAGCGGACACTGCCTGCCTCACGTCCGCAGGTATTTTCTCAACAAGCTGCGTGTGATTTTGCCCAAGACTGGCTAGTACGCCTGTACGATTCACGTGTTCCACATCCGCGTGATAGGAATAATGTGTACCATTAATGTCCGTTAACGTGCCGCCCAACGCCTCGAGCACTGCCTCCGGCGCACATGTGTCCCACTTCTTGCAACCAGGCGTTGCAAAAACATACGCATGAGCTTTGCCCTCGAGTAACTGCAGTACTTTGAACCCGGCACCACCAACTTTAAGAATTTCAGTGGCACTGAAGGCGTCCAGCGCCTGCTGATGCAATGCATTGGAATGTGAGCGTGTGGTCGTTATTATGAACTGGCCTTCTGGTGCTGCCTTGGACGTAAAGCCGCCTGTTCCGAGGCCTTTCAGACCCCAAATAGTGCGTCCAAGCTCACCACTGGGCTGTTTGTAGTAGGGCTGATGTATGATGCCACCCACAGCCGAGTCTTTTACAGCGATGCCAATGAGAACAGTCACGTGCTCCACGAAACCTAAGCAGATTAGATTAGCCATAGCCTCTAATGCTAAGTATATCTCTCACCCTGCGTGTATTCGGCAGTGCCGTCTAGCGGATCCACCCAAATCACAAAGTCCTCGTCTTCTGCATCACGCCATTTCGATGGACATGCTTGCTGCAGGAAATCCTGATCTGGTTCTTCAACCAGCCAGTCAGCACACACATTCAAATCGGAGCAGCCCTCCTCACCAATAATTTTGATGCGCGGAAATTGCTTAGTCAACGACGCAATTATACTTCGCTGTGCGGAACGATCAGCCTCGGTTTGTGGATCATTCTTCCCTTTGTCCACAATACCTAGGTCACCCTACAAAAAAAAATAAATAAATAAATAAAACGCAATCGATTAAACAAAAACATTAGTTTACACATTGGATGTAACCAACCTGTTGCATGACATCGCGTATGATGCACCCGGCACGTTTGGCCGTGTTTATGGACAGCGCCATGATGCGCATAATTAGTGGAGATGTCGTCGCCATCGAAATAAATGCCCGCGAAATAATGCAACTAATTTCATAAGTGGCCGCTGCACCTTCACTTGCCTTTGCAGCGTATATAGTAATCAGATGTTGCGGCTGCTGAAGAAATGGTAGCACTCTTTCCCAAATGGCATTGCCACACTTGTAAGAGATGGCAGTGTCTTTCATTTGTGGCACTTATCCCTGAGCACTACAGTTTTCAATGCAACTTCAATAGATTTTTGATTTTAATTTTTAAGGAATGGATTTAAATTAATAATTATTTGATTATAGTTTTAATTTAGGTCATGAAAGTTTCGTGAATTATCACTTCCAAACATAAATATTGCTTATTTTATTGAAAACCTAGCGTTCAAATTTGATTTCTGTTACCATCTGCTCAGCTTGGCAAAAAGCTGTTTATGATTTTGCAAAACGTGGACAAAGAAATGCTTATTATTCTTATATGTATTTAACCGTATTCTTGAAAATGTGTTAAGTCAAGCACGAATACCGTTATGTACGTAAATACATATGTATCCCTGATTTTAAAAATACTCCAAACAATATTTTCTTTTACATACACATTTGTACCGAGATAACCACCATGTACTTAATTATATGAAAAAAAAAGATACATACATACATACATAAATATAATTAGCCGGCATAATAAATATCACATAGTGAAATTTCGAAAGCAAATTACACGATCACAACAAAGCATTGCTCATCTCTAGGCCGGAATGGACGTTGGCAATGCCGCCAGCTAGACCTTTGGACCACCCCCTCGCAGTTAGTTTTTGGAGCTCGAGCTCGAAGAATTGAAAGGTACGCACGTAGTGTCAGCATTATGGAAATTAATAAGGATCTGTTCTCAATTAATATTAATTTTCATTTTATTGCAGATAATGGCGCGTGTTCTGGTTGGAGTGAAGCGTGTGATCGACTATGCTGTTAAGGTAAGCGGGACTACCGAGTATCGCCTGTTGCTCTAGTCTTCTTCTTATCACTTGTTGCGCTTGTTTTTGCGTAATCGTTTTGATAGCCCCGCGAGCCCCTTCGGCAAGAAACTAATGTTTACTTCTTGGACAGGTGCGCGTCAAGCCCGACAAAAAGGGCGTTGTTACTCAGGGCGTTAAGCACTCCATGAATCCCTTCGATGAGATTGCTGTTGAGGAGGCTGTTAAGCTAAAGGAGAAAAAGTTGGCCAGCGAGATTATTGCCGTCTCGGTGGGACCCGCTCAGTCGCAGGAAGTAATTCGCACAGCCCTCGCCATGGGTGCCGATCGTGGTGTACATGTGGAGGTCTCTGGTGACGAATACGAGCTGCTGCAGCCGGTGCATGTGTCAAAAATCCTTGCCAAGTTGGCACTGGATGAGAAGGCGGATTTGGTTATCCTGGGCAAACAAGCCATTGATGATGATGCTAATCAAACGGCTCAGATGACGGCTGCCGTGCTCGACTGGCCACAAGGCACCTTCTGTAACAAGGTCGAGAAGACCGACGCTGGTCTGACCATATCCCGTGAGATCGATGGCGGCCTTGAGACAATCAAGACCAAAATTCCTGCTGTGCTGAGTGCCGATTTGCGCCTGAATACGCCTCGCTATGCGACGTTGCCGAACATCATGAAGGCCAAGAAGAAGCCTCTGAAGAAGGTCACAGCCAAAGATCTAGGCGTTGATACTACGCCACGCATTGAGATTATTTCTGTCGAGGATCCGCCAGTGCGTCAAGCAGGCGCCCTTGTTGCCGATGTGGATGCTCTGGTTGCGAAGCTGAAGGAAGGTGGACATATCTAATCTATGGACTCCCATCGCTTCACGCCATCATCAAATATGTGCAAAATTCCACATTTTATTTTTTTCTTTACAATTTGGAATCATCATAAACGTGCATTTATCTAGCTGCTAAAAATTATACGTCCATTCTATGGAGAATTCTATTTTATCCCCCACCCTTCCAACTCCCCTCCCAGCGTAGTGCATTAAGTAAAAAGTAATTGTTTTGTAGAACACAAACCGTTTTAAGAATAAAGTGATGTAAGCACAAAATCATCGGCAGGGTCAATCAGTGAGTTGTTCATATCCGTATATTCCTTTTCAGGTATCGTCGCTTGGCTTCAATGCCCAATTTCAACTCCCGATTAGATTCAATGTCAGTTCGAATGCTCCCCCAAAATGGCGTGAGGCGAAGGTCACACCCAAGGCCAATGTCACAAATTGATTTTTAAATGCATTTTATTTGTCAAAGAGCTCAAAACTATACTTTGCTCTAAATATATATAAAAAATTTATATAATATACATATGAATATATATATGCGTATTATGTATATAAATATGTATGTATAATTGATAAACTGACCAATGGGGAATAAGTATAAAAATATGATTTGCTTTCTGCTTAAAATGGCCGCCGAATTTTCGGGTATTAATTTAGTTTAAAAGTTTATATTAATAGATAGATCGTAATTAAATGGACAGACAGGCAGGAGTTGTGGCAATACTTGCGCTAATAAATGCTAATATACACATATAGAGTGCGTATTCGGTATAGTTAACAAATCGAACCAAACATGTATGTATGTATTCGACTATTGAAAATGACATAAGTTGGTTCTGGTCTGCGAAATTGATGAAAAACAATTCAAATAAAGTGTATATAATTTCGTATGTAAAGATATGTATGTATGTATTTAACATACAGTTCTTGAGATCTGTCATTTTTTAAACTAACGTCCAAAATGATTATTTTAGCAAGGTATGGGGTAAAAACTCTAAATACCATTTACATGCATTTTACTAGATTTACTAATATGTTGGGTAAAATTCTTAAAATATTCACTATACCGATCGCGCACTGTACAGTTACACACAAACACAAGACTTTTTTACTTACGACATACAGATACAGTTTAGAGGTATAATAGTTTGAGAGTCATAGCAGTTTAGAAGTTATTGTGACAGATAAAGTTATCAAAATGCCCGCAGATCCAATTTTGAGTCACCTAATAATAATGGCTAATTATTTGATAAGATAAGCAGCATTTACCTAGAAAAACGGTACATCACCCCATTTTATATCACACTACCTGCTTAGGACCCTATGTACGTCCTGCGGGTGAAATTTGCTTATCGCTGAAGCGCAAAATGCGCGTCAACATGGTGGTAATGCACGGTATCTGCTTCTGCTGATGCATTTCCGGTGTATCCGGAGTGCAGGACTCGAAGTCAACGGCTACGCGCTGGTTCACAAACGTAAGCAAAGTGAGGATGTCTAGGCGTTTGCCATTGGCGGCAAGTTCGGCGCAGAGGGACTGCATAAACCAACTTCCTCTGGTGGTGTTGCGCCACGAATAGAAGCCCGGAATGGTCGAGTAGGCAATGAGAAAGTCGGCGTGTATAGGTATTTTGTAGCTCATGGAGGAGTCGCCATCCGTTTCAGTTTTGGCCATTGTGACACCTGTATCCAGACGATCGCCCTGGCAAGCCTGGATGAAGAAGAGCTTTGGCTTTCCGGCAAGAGAGGGGCAGTGATTAGCTGTGAAGCAACTCCAAATGTTGTCCAGCTTGTACTGTGTGTCCTTGGAGTAGATGTAGCCGAGCTCGCCGTGTGAGAGAACAGCCACCAGGATGCAATCGTTGTCGCTGTGATCCTGCGATGCAGCCCAATCAATCAGTCGCTTTATCTCCTTGAAGCGACAATCCTTATGCACAGTCACGTCGAAATCCAGCTGCTTGAGCACGCGTACCAGATTCTCACAATCAACATTCGTGCCTGCTCGCGATTTCAGCGTCGGCACCTCAAAGTGTTCGTGATTGAAGATCAGGGCCATGCCTCGATGCTTGTGACGCATATTGTATTCGGCTGCATGCCGCTCCGTCACCATTCTGGCCACATATCTCTGATAGACCGACGATGAAGATGGATTATTGCAACCATTGGCTAGCTGGCCAATGGCACCGCTACCGTAGCTGTAATTATTAGCAGTATGGGCGTTGCTGCTGCTGCTGTTAGAGCCGAAGGCATCGGTCGAGTCCGAGACGTTGCCTTGTGGTCCTACCTGATCAAGAGATTCGTTGGGGCTGTCGGCCATTATGAAAACGGGACGATGACTCACACGAACTGGTTTTGTGCACACTCTATTTCAAAGAAAATTTCCCTCAACACTCGCTTATTATCCTCAATGCAATGCAAACGCGCGATCTGCTTGTTGTTGTAACAAAGAATGCGAAAATGTAGCTGAAGCGCAATTGTATACGCCAGTGAAGCGCAGCCAGCGGGTCTTTTGTTTTTGATAGTATGAACTGGTTCAAGTGAGCGGGTCATGAAACGGAGCTAGCGCCGCTCATTTGCTTCTAGTTCAGCTCGGCTAATTGAGCTGGTTCTATCGGCTTCATAGTACAAATAGTGGCAACCCTCAACTGACATGTCAGTTCTATTTGTTGACGAAGTCTGTACAACACAAAATCATAAATAATTGAACGAAATGAGTGCGCTGTTCAACTTTCAAAGCTTGCTTTCGGTTATATTGTTGCTGGTTTGCACCTGCGCCTACCTGAGGACCCTTTTTCCCAGCATCATTGACCGCAATAAAACCGGTGTCCTAGGCACATTCTGGAAGCTGGCACGTATCGGCGAAAGGAAGTCCCCATGGGTCGGGGCCGCTTGCCTAATTATGGCTTGTACGGTACTATTCTGGACGTAACCATTATATGGAATTTGGAGTACAATTTAATTCGATGTACGCATGGATAAAAAGACTAACTGGCAATACTACGGAAATACGATAAGTACAATAAGCATGTTGTTGATCAAGAAATGGAATTAACAGTTTTTAATGGTTAATATAAATGCAATGTATGTGCGAAATAAATCAATTTTTTACTCATAATCAAAGATCAATCCACTGCCACGAGTATGTTCCACAGTCCAGGCATCAAATCGTTCTGACATCTCCGCGTCCATATGATTGCGCCAATCACCGATTTTGCCGTTGCGTATGAATTTTGTATCATTTTGTTTGATAACAGCTTCCAGATTAACGGCTTTGTTGCCTTGCATATTGTCGAATTTCAGGTGCTCGCAAATGCGTTCCATACTCGCTTCGGTCAGCAAATGGGAAACATTTAAAAATTTGGCACAACGTCGGACTACGGCAGGCAAGTCACGACTCATGTCCTCATATTTAATGAAAAGCACATTGTCATCGAGACTGCGCTTCCAGAAGGGCAGCACATGCTTCATGTAGGAGCCCATGGGGGTATGCCCGGCCAGGAAGAGTTCCACAAATTCTTTGAAACTTCCATTTAGACCATGTAACAGTTTGCAATAGTGATAGTAGGACACACACAGATCCTTGGGATTGCGCGCGGTGTAGACGATTTTCGGTTTGATGGTCTCGAATTGTTCGGGCAGCAGCTGCCAGGAGAGATGGGAACGTGCGTAGCGTGGCCGTGACAAGTTCCGCACCACGTCGACAGTGTTGCCAAAGGCTTCACTAGAAGCGACCCAAGTTGAATCATAAATGTAAATAAGTATGTAAATGAATTCAAGGCAATTTAATGACTTACGCAACCCATTCATGATGATCTGTGCTAAAAAGCGCCGACAGCTCGATCATTGGTGATCGCAGCGCCAACTGCTGCTTGGCTGTCTCGAAGTCCAGTTGATGACCCAAGAGCCAGACCATTTCCTGCGCCCATGTGGAGCCAGTGCGTGGATACGACACCATCCACACATCGTCCTCATAAACGGTCAGCTGGCGTATGGTCTCGCCCAATTCTATATATTTTCGTGGTATAATCAACTTATCGGGCAGCACCTCAACGAAACAATTCTTTGTCGGAAACATGGCATTAGTGCGTTGCAGCACCTCCTCATTCAGTTCGCGATAAATGAGCTGCATTATTATGTCTTGCGTTCGCCAAATGCAGGCCTAGACTGGCCATGGCATCCATTTGCCAAGTGGGCCCAAGCATGTGCGGTGAAAGTGGCGTCGCGGTCGTGGCTACTGCACAAAGTCTTTCAACAAAACTTGAACTTGTCTATTGTCGGTTCATTGCACCACAACAACAACAAAACTATGGGGCAAACCAGATGCATGCAGCAGTCGAAAAAAATGGAAATGTATTGCATTGGCAAACTAAAAATCCATTGATACTTGTTTTAGTGGATCTCTTAGATTGCCATTTCTCTTGCCTACAATTTTTATTTACACTTGTCGTTTATTATCATTTTAACATCCAAGCCCCCTTCCCTACATACTTATGTTTGTATTTTTGTATTTGTAAATGATCGCATCGTTTCGCTGGTAGCCAAATACATATGTATCTGCAGTATTTATTTAAGGAGTTTTTAAATAACCATTTTTTTTATGGAAATATAAATGCCGGCCGTAATACATGTTTCTTTAAATTATTTTGTTTGTTCTTGGTTTTTTTCACTAAGCAAATTCCAAATGCAAATGCAAATTCCATATTATTATAACAACTGGCTTTGCGGTAAATAAAACATGTAGAAGTTAAATTTTGGCCAGCTCGACTCTTAAATACGTTCTACCCCCCAACTAAAGGAAACTTGATTGTAACAATCATTCTTATGACAACTATAGTATATGATTTAGTGCACCGATTTAGATACAACTTCAGACTATGATCGGTAACTGATCAAAACTTGATAAGTTCAAGCTATCAAAAAATCGGCCCTATTGCTATTGGATAAAAATTCCTTTTCAAGTATATGGGCTTGTTCATTATTTTGAGCTGTAGTTCAATACGATAACTTATGCCAAATATTGCTGAGTGTTGTCGTGAAAATGAATTACATTAAACATTCTCTGAGGTAAGATTGGAAGCCTTACCGAAGTACCTCAATATGAAATAATGTGTATATACATAACTAGTACTCAATTATTAGACAGCTGATGGGGTCCTCGATTATTACTTCTATTGTCCCCTACCACATTAATTACATTTGAAAAGTTTTGTCTTAGGCTAATGGCTGAAATTGACAATTTTTTAAGCTGAATTGAATTTTTAAACTTCATTAATAATATTTAAAAGTCTATCATGAAAGAAACAAATTTAAATGTTATAAATTATAATTTTTGATCTATTAAATCTCAGGTGCACGAAACGGTTGCCTAAATTAGGGATTGAATCGACAAAGTCGAACTTTTGGTTCCTTCAGGAATTCATCATAATAGTTCAAATTATTGTTTGAATTATTATAGTATTATTATATACTCTACAATCTTGATTGTGAATAATCAGGAATTCATCATAATAGTTCAAATTATATATTTGCTTGAATTATATTATATATTATATTATTATATAAAACTCTACAATCTTGATTGAGAAGAATCAGGAATTCATCATAATAGTTCAACTTACTGATTGAATTAATATATTATTACTCTACAACAAAATATACCTTGCAATGGGTAACTCCCCTAGGTCTTACCTGACACATCATTTTACTGCTCTATATTTAGAAATTAAATGAAGGTCCCCATTAGGGGTTTAAAACTTAATATTAACCACTTTTCATAGGCGCCTATATACAAGTACGTATATCGGACAGCTCTTGTAAAGTTAGTAGCTAACAAGTTGTCTTAAATAAATCAATTACTTCGTTACCAATTAGATTAAGTTTATTTCAATGCGTTAATGCTACATACATGGTATATACAAATAAATCGTTTTCAGTTATCGTACAATTAATTAGCTTTAGTCGAAGAAAAACTAACGAACGGGAACACTGGCTTCTGGATGCTGAGAACACTTATAACTCATTGTGTATATATTCTGTGGTGACCTTAGCCTCGCCCTCGTGGAAACCATTGCAGTCAACTGGGTATTTGGCCTGTTATGGTGATGGTATAGTTGGACGGAGCATCGAGATTAGTTGGACGATCACACGGAACACTGGCTTTATACAGACTACTTACCTCACAATTATATGGCGCATTGATTACACCGAATAGCGTCCAGAATGGTGTACCGGTTTCTGTGCTGATGAAGATCGCTGCACCCATGCTGCCGATCTTAACGATTTTCGGACTAACGCCAGAAATAAGACCGCCAGACGCAACCGCTGGCGATGTCTGTGCCTTTGCCTGCTGCTCCAATGCAGCTGCATTCAATTGGCACAGCACATAGCGATCACATTGCGGCGTCTTGGAGATGTATCTGTAGGCGCGATGTACTTTTAGCACCGGTTCGATAACCTGTTTCCACGTACGATTCGTGTGTGGATTCGTATGGCATGGAACAAAAGAGAAAATTGTAGCGTAATTAATTTAATTTGTGTGCTGGTGTCAGTTGTTTGTATATTGAGCTTTTGTTTTTGTTTTATTTTTCTTTCTTCTAATCGAATTGCATTTCCTAGAAGCAGTGCTTGTGTTAATTGCTCGCCAACCCAATTCCCAAACATTCTGGTGCCCCACACTTACCTCCAGATTTAGCGTATCCGTTAATTTATCACTTATTTCAGTGGCATTGAACTGGAGCAGACCGCGTGCTTGGCCCAGTTTAAGCAATTCCTTGGCATAGCCGACTGCCGGTTTCACATACTGGCGCGAATCGATTTTCACATTCAAATGGTGTTTGGCCACGTGATCCAGCAGATTAGAGATGGTCTCGCTGGCGCGTGTGGGCTCAAAGAAGGTGCTCTTTGGATAACCTTGAGACTTCAAGAAGCCGTTGAACATCAATTGCGCCGTCTGGAAGTATCTGTGGAAAGGTGGAAAGTGGCCGGGCGAGAAAACAGGGAAAATAATGAGCTTGTATTGACGTGCTGGTCGAGCAAAGCGACAAAGTGAAAGGGCTGCTGTCTCGACTTCAATGTTTCTCTATTGGCGTATCTGCGTGTTGATAGAAAGTGGAAGTTATTTGTCGTCCAACAATGACTGGCGTATTTTACAAGCGAAACAAAATAAAACGGGTTTTGTGTAAGTGCCCAGATTTTCCTTTTGGCCATTTTTTTCTATTGTGTACGGGGCTCAAAGTCCATGCCAAAAAAAAAGCGGGCTGACCTAAATTCCCAGGCGGCTATTTACATGCCATGCAAAAATAATGAAAAAAGAACAAAATAATGAAATACCAACGTACTCGTATTGTACTTTGCTTTTGGCCCAGTTCGTGAGCAGCAACCGGTTCTTGGAATGAACCGTTGTCTCTTCTACTCACGCAGTCGCCGCTTCTCGTTTTGTTTATTTGTTTATTTTAATGATGCCGCCGACTTTATAACTGTAACACGCAGTCAGAACGAATGAACGAGAGCGGTGCAGAGAGAGAAAGAGATCGAGAGGGGGCACACCCAATAAAGCTGGCCATGGACTTGGATGTTGACCACGCAGATTAACATGGCACTTCTAAATGCCACAGTCAACAACAACAACAGTATATGTAAGAAAGAACTGCGGCAAAAAGTGTGTCAAAAGGTAAGTGCACGAATGCGACCGCGACTGCGATCGAAACTGCGGCTGCGCATACGCCGAACAGTCAGTCGAACATGTTCGATACAAACAGGTAATGCTGCAACCAGATGCGCCGCATAACGGTAAGCAGTCAACAGCTGTTACTTCATTGCTACAAATAAATGGTTTGATTTGCGCGCTACCTAGAATCGAACCAATTTACAAACGAACGCACACACACACACACGCACTCATCTGTTGCTAGCCATCATCGAGGTGCTAACTGAACACCGTTAATCGGGCAGGGAATACGTGACATTCAATTACTAGTATCACACAAACTGGTCGTTAAAAATAATTACACACTTGGATTTTTATATATTGTAGTTGCCGATCAACCCAACCCTTTTTACTCACTTCAGGTAGACCTCGGGATTGGCAAGGTAGCTGGCCCAGTCGGCCAAATATAACGTGGCCGATTTGATCCAGCGACGACGGAAAGATTGATTGTTGAGCGACTCGAATAGTCTGTCGTAGTCCAATTTTCCATCTCGACCCTTAAAGCCCTGCAAAAATATATATATAAATTATAAAGTATTATTAAACTTGTTGATGATAATTCCTATAATTTAAAGACTATCCATAATAGCAACAACACTTTCCATTAAACAATTTGTTTAATGACTTCGACTTACAAAATCAATCTTTCGTTCTTACCTTTAGAATCTTGTTGATGCCCGACTTCTCGTAAAGTGCATCGGCCAACTCCGAGTGGGAAAAATGATCCCACAGCACGTGCACGTGTTCCAAGAACGGTGGCAGCACCCAGGCGTGATCCTTGTGGCGTTCCTGTGTGCTCTGACCCTCGGGACCAGCAAACGAACCGATTGCCTGCATGACAAGTGGCAGCAAACTCATGAAGCCACCATTGTCGGATTCCGGTTCCACATCACGTTTCTGTTGATGGTGTTGATGTTGGGTTTTGGCCGCCGCTTTTCCACTGTCAGCTTGGGTGTTAATGAATGCGGATGCCACTTGCAGTATGGTTTCTAGACCGATGCCTGATTCACCGCCACTGCGTTTTTGTGCAGCGCCAGTGGTCTTGCCGCTAGATTCTTCATCATCGCTTTGCGTAAACATCTCAATGACGTTGCCAATGATGGCGGGATCGAAGCCACCCCGGCCATTATTATTGCCTCCGGCGCTGGCAAGCAGACTGCCCAGGCCGGAGAGTATTTGCATAGCACCACTACCGGCGCCACCTCCACTGCCACCGGCGGACTTGCCACCCGCATTGGCCTGCATAAAGCTGCCGACCAGCGAGGCAATGCTTGCCAGGCCTGCGCCCGCATTTGCGCCACCTGCACCACCGCCTGCAGCACCACCATTTTGATTATTCAACGCCTCCTGTATGAACATGGAGGCCATGTCGAGCAATGGATTTGATTCATCCTCACTGGCCAATTGACCATAGGGCTGAGCGCAGAACAGCGCCAGAAAAAGTAGCGCACGTTTTATGTACATTTTATGTTTTTTGTTTTTGTACAGGAACTTTCACAATCACACACTTGAGATACTTTTTTTACTGTAATATTGTTGGGCAATTAAGCGACTCAACGACTTCGACGAAGATGACGACGCGGCTGACGACGCTTCACTGCGCACACAGCACGCTTGAAAATCGCAACTAAGGAGCCAAAATCTTGAACAATTGTTGTTGTTGCGGCTGCTACTTATTTTAAGTTCTCCACAAAGCGACGAAACAGACACGCGACTCAGTCTCAGACACAGCCAGCACAGCCGGAAACTTTCTTTCTTCTGAAGCACAGTCTACGTTTGTAACACTTCTTAAGCCAACTCAGGCGCTCGGTCGTCAATTCTTACAATCCAACATGTTGCAATGCAGGTGCGCTTACAAACACACTCGTACTCTCTCTCTCTCTCTCTCTCTCCCTACTCACCCAGCTAAGACCTGACTCTCTGCGCGGCTTTATTCACGCCTGCGCTTTGTACACGTCAGTTTTCCTGCTCCCCATACCAAACCGATGAACAAAATTATTTTGTGCTGTTCTGTGGCGCTGGATTAAGCTTTGTTTATGTTTCTACCTACTTTCTTTTTGGATACACTCTTGACTCGTGAGTGTGGATCGCACTTATTACCGCCACCGTTCCGATCCACCCTGCTGCCCGCTGCTTTTGAAAGTTTCAACGCTTTGCCAATGACGCCCGTCGCCACTGCTCAATCGGTTTATGTAAATTCTTAGATTCGAATTTTTACTTTTTAATGCAAATAGGAGAACACGAACCCGCAAACGAATTCGTGACACATTTATCAGCGAGAAGAAGATATTTGTCACGCAGACACACACCCCCTCCCCCGCATATCGTACGTTTCGTTTGGTTTGGTTTCGCTTTGATTTTATTAAACGAGAATGGATTGCATTGTGCTCATTACATAAATTTACGACGCTTTTTAGTTACGTGTCTGGCTCTCTGGGTCTCTTCAAGTTTTGGCTTTCGTAGCTATGTATAAGAATTTGCTGTTTATTTGTATTTAGGTTTCCATGGTCTGATATATCCACTCCATTGCTTGCTGCGGTAAAAAGAACGTTTTTATTTTCAAGTTATCAAAAAAAAAAAAAAAAATGTAAAAGATAGCTATTTCATCCAATTCCCAAAAAAAAGAGGTGCGCTTAATGAGTACAATATCAGATTTATACGTATAAAAACCGGATGAGAAAAACAAAAGTCAGTATCAAGATGAACGAGATTGCAATTTTTTGGGAATACGGTTTTGTTCTTTTCAAAATTAACTCCCAGCAGTTTCAGAAAGCTTTTACTCACCTCTAAGCCATTGCCTGTTACTGCCGAACAGTCCTGTATAATCCAGTTGCGCTTTTCGAGACGGGTTAGACCCAATAGCTCGGCCACATCGGCTGTGGGCAGAGCACCAACCTGATCCTGTTTATTTGCCAGTATCAGTAGCGGCACGTCATCCAGACGCTTGTCCAGCAACATTTCACATAACTCGCTACGAGCCTCGCCCAGACGCTGTGCATCGGTGCTATCTATAACATAAATCTAAGGTTTCTCGAGCTTAATGGCGGCTCGTACTATTCATTTATAGAGACCTACCAATGCATTTGTGCTGCTGTAATAATTGCACCAGATCTGGCGATTCCCCCACTGACCGCTGAGATCCCAAAGACGCAACTTGACGCCCTTTATTTTAAATTCTTGCAGTGCTCCGCCGAAGGAGGATGTTATTTCCTATAGGTTGAATATACTATTATTTGAAATTTGCAACTAGCAGTATAAACTTACAGCTCCTTCTGCCTCTTCGCCCAGGCGGGAAACTAGAGTTGTCTTGCCTGCATTGTCGAGTCCTAGAACGAGCATGCGCAGCTCCTTCGGCTTCGACTGCGGGAACAGTTTCCGGGCAAAGAAGTTGCAAACCTTCAGTATGTAGCAAAGACACATTGTGTTTCAAGTGTAAGTTGTGTAATAGAATATACGAATATGAATAAATGACTGGATGTATGAGTGTTTGGCCAAAGTATACTATTTTATTTGAAAAATCAAAAGACTAAAATGGATTACTATCTTCCCAATACTTGAATTTACGACGCTTCTTGCTAACGCGCCAGATTCGCTTGCTCTCGACACTAGTTGGTTCTCTTTCAACTTTTATCGTTCGATATATCCAGTCCATTGCTTGCTGCAATTTCAAAATTAAGAAAAATTACTACTAAATACCTAATCAGCTTTGTAGACACCATAAAGATATAGCACAACTGGAGTGTGCTAAAATAATATTTAATTTAATTATAGAGCGTCTTTTCGGCCATTCGACGATAGTAGCTTCACATTAAATTATGTAATCCCCTTTCTATCTAAATTGATTCAATCTATTCAATCGACACTACATTTTTTTTCCCATTATTTCTAGAATTAAACAAGAGAGAACGCTACAGTCGAGCAAGCCCGACAGTGTAATACCCTGTACCCAGGTAAACTTCCGTCACTGAGTTATATGCGCCCATAGCAGCAGCAAAAAGAGGAAGAAGAAGAGCGAACTCGTTGCTGCAGTTTGTGGGGGTTGTACTGTAGAGAATTTGTTTCGCTAATAACTTTTCTCAGAATTGACCGAATTGAATAAAATTTTGAACAAAAGTAGACAATTATATATAAATTATGTGTGCAAAGTTTGGTTTAGGTAGCATTTGAAATGTGGACGCTATTGACGAAATTCTGTAGCGGGGGAAGGGGGGAAAATTCCAAAAAATAAAATAAACTCGTCCTTTCTCGGACCTAGGAGAATCTGGATGCCAACTTTGGTTATTCTAGCTTTTATAGTTTCTGAGATCCTCGCGTTCATCCAGACGGACGGACAGACGGACAGACAGACGGACGGACATGTCTAGATCGATTTCTTTCGTCATGCTGATCAAGAATATATATACTTTGTGGGGTCGGAGATGCTTCCTTCTGCATGTTACATACTTTGCACAAACCTAATATACCCTTTTTACCCTACGGGTACAGGGTATAAAAAATGTTTTTTCCAGAAATGGCTTAGCTTTTCGCCTTTAAATGTGACTCAAACGACAACCAGTTGCGTAACAATTGTACCCACCTCTACACCATTGCCCGTTAAGGCAGAGCAGTCCTGTATAAGCCAATTGCGCCTTTCAAAGCGGGTTAGACCCAATGAATTCGTCACATCTGAAGTGGGCATTGCACCAACCTGATCTTGTTTATTCGACATAATTAATAGAGGTGTATTTTCCAAGCGTTTGTCCAACAATATATCAAATAGTTCGCTGCGAGCCTCGCCCAGACGCTGTGCATCGGTGCTATCAATAACATAAATCTAAGACCCTCTAAGATTAGTGGCAGTTAGGTTAGACCTTTGTTTAAACACACACATACCAAGGCATTTGCGGAGCCGTAATAATTGCGCCAGATCTGACGCCTTCCCCACTGACCGCTCAAGTCCAAGAAGCGCAATTTTTTCCGGTTGATTACAATTTCTTTCGATGAGCCGCCCACAACAGATCTGATGCGCTACAGGGCGAGTGTTATTCCCTAAAATACTGAAAGAGGTCGATGTGAACTTACAACTCCCTCTGCCTTTGGACCTAGACGTGCTACTAAAGTGGTCTTGCCCGCATTATCGAGCCCCAAGACCAATAGACGCAGCTCTTTCGCGGACCTGGAGAGCAGAGTGCGAGCTAGATAGCCAAGGCTTTTAAATACGTAGCATAGGCACATTATGCGTGTATAATATAATAAACGAGTTTGACTGATTAACCAAAGCTTACAAATGTAACTAGAGAATCGAGCTTTATTTGCTTCGAGGCGCTTGTGGTGCAATACATAGCTACATACTTATAACAAAACACATATTAGCTAACTTTTTGAAAAGGGCACACTCTATTTTTTCATATTCTTGCACACCCAATCCATCCCCTCCTTTAGCCCAGTGCCGTCAACTGCGGTGCAGGCCTTAATCTCCCAGGAACGCTCCTCCAATCGCACCAGACCCATCGCTTCGGCCACCTCGGAGGCGCTCATAGCCTCGGGCAGGTCCTGTTTGTTCGCAAAAACTAGCAAAGGCACCTGCTTCAAGCGATTGTCCAACAACATTTCAAAGAGTTCGCTGCCTGCTTCGGAAAGCCGGGTTCGATCTGTGCAGTCAATTACATAGATCTGTAAAAGCAGAACTTGCCATTTAGAATCATAAATAAAGCCAACTAAAACAACTTACTAATACATCTGTATTGGCAAAATAGTTCTTCCAATATGGTCGTATCTTCCACTGACCGCCAATGTCCCAGACATTCAATTTGAAGCCATCGGCAGCCACGGATTTGATGTTGAAGCCTGCCGTGGGTGTCACCTTGAGTAGAGAGTCGAGTTAATACTAAAATAATTGAAATGTGAAATTTCTTGTATACTGTTGTAATATCCTCTGATGCCAATTGTTTGAGTATGGTGGTCTTGCCCGCATTGTCCAAGCCGAGCAGCAGTATGCGCGCCTCTTTATCGGGATTAGGACGTAACTTTCGGAGCAATGACAGTAAACCCTGCAACAGACAGAAGCAAGTCAGTTAAGCATTTGATTATAATGGCAAGAAGTCGAGCTTTAAGTCCAGTTGAAAAATATTAAGGATCTCAAAATGACTTTAAAATGGATAAAATAGCTAAAATAATATCGTTTTATCAAATATTTATTGATGGAATTAATATTTTTGACAGTATTCAAATAAATCAAGAAATCAAATGGTATTCTACAAAAATTATTGTTAAAAAAGAATAGGTGCTAGCAACGAGCGAAAACGGAGCTGTCATTCAAATAATTTTATTACAATCAAAAATATTTTGGATAGATTTTTCATAACGTTGTCAGGCAGGACATTGACGGAATATAAGACAAACTCTGAACTTTATTGTGAAGCTTAAGACCAAGAATTTGTGCTTATGCTACCCATATAAAAAAAATCATAAAAGAATTTCGTTCTACTAAATCCAAACACTAATTGCATATCATTTAGAAATGAAAAATAATTAATCAGCTAATTTAGCTGACTAATTAAACATTTAGGTATTTAATAGATTGTTGTATGTAGTATAATAAATCCAAATAGATACATAATTTTTTTTAATAAATGGAGCAATTGCGGGCAGATTAAATTTCTGTTCTTAAATGATGATTTTGATTAAATTTTTGTAAGCAAATTTTTATAATTAATTATGTGAATATAATGTATTCAAATAGATTAATTGATTAAAAGTATTCATTTTATTTGACTGATAAATTTAAATACATTTAAACGAATACGATTGACTTTGTAGTGTATTTCCAAGCAGTCTTTTCAGTTGGCGCGCTTTTCGTAACAGTGCTGTATAATGAGCTCGGAACACTAGTTCACTTGCGCCTGGCTAGTTCCGGCGCCTGAAGCGGAACGAACTGGCAATTCAGTTCTATTCGCAGCGGTTTCCATGGCAATTGACAATTTGAAAACAAACACTTTGGGTTAAACAATGAATTTGTTGAAAACTCACTGATAAAACAAATCAGAAAAGTTGAAAGACGACACGAGCATATGCAACACGATACTTTACCATATTCAAGGCAGAGCAGATCGTGCAGATCGGGTAAGTTGGACGAAAGCACACGCGCACGATAAACGGTTACAAAAACGAAAGCACTGAGAACGACAACATTACAGGCGCAAGGCTGCTCACAAACTAAACAACCCGCCAACTCGACAACAAGCTCAAAAAACAAGCGTCTATATAGTATAGTACACATATATGTAGGCATCTCCACGGCGACGACTCGTAAATAGAGCAACAGAGTCCGAGTCAGCGACGCGTGTAAAGAGACGGCAAAGCGTTCGCGGAAGCGGTATAGCAGCGGCAGCGGCAGCGGTGGAAGCGTTGAAAGCGTTGAAAGATGCGACAGTGGCTATTTACGGGCTTCAATGCTTTCGGACAGCATGCTTACAAATGTGCGGACAGCGAGGAGAGGCACCCGCTCGGCTTTCGGGGTATGTCGATTAATTGAGACAAAGCGCTTCTCTATCACAGATATGCTTACATGCATGTATACTAAGTAAATCCTGTTTTAGAAATAACACCACCACCAACAGCATTGAGCGGGAATTTTTTAATTGCGCTCAGCTGGAGGTATACGGCCTACGCTTTGGGAAGTACAATTTGGTTGCAGGGCCTGTTGGAGGAGAAGGTGGGAGAATGTCTGCAGGTGCAGGCGCCCGCATCTATTAAAGCGCTAGCAGCTGGCGAAACATTTTGTTTAGTGCTGCTGGACGATGGCAGTCTTCACAAGCTGCCCGCAAAATTGCAGGCAACGTTGCAGGAGCTGAGATTGGAGGCAGTGCCTGCGACGCGCCCACAGAAGCGAAATATATTTGGGCAAGTCAAAACCGAAGCTTCCGGCGATGCACCCATCATTAGCCACATAGCCTGCGGCACACACATCAATGTGGCCATCAGCGAGCGCAATGGCGTGTGGAGCATACCCAGCTATCTGCATCAGTTCCCCGAACCTCGTGCGTGGCGTGTGCAACAGTTGGTCTGCGGCCATGAGCATGCGCTCCTCCTCAATGCCAATGGCGATGTCTACGGCTGGGGAAATGGGCTGTAGGTGGCATCTGCTAAGCAAACTTGACATGCCTATTGACACACTCTCGTTAAAATTCGCAGACGAGGCCAATTGGGACAGGCAACGTTGCGGGTGGAGGAGACGCCCCAGTTGCTCGAATCGTTGGCAGGCGTTAAGGTAGAGTAGCCGTGATTCTTACTTCTTATCATTGTGCAAATAACGGCACCATACATTTCGTCTATGGCCTCTAGATAACACACATCGCAGCCGGTGGTTGGCATAGTGCGGCCATATCGGCTTTTGGTGACCTCTACACGTGGGGCTTCAACTGCAATGGCCAGCTGGGTCTGCGAGTCTTGAAGCGCGATTCAGTGCTAAAGGAGCCCACTGTCTACCCACTGCCCCAGTTGCATGATTTGCCCCTCTGCTGCTCCTCTGGCGATAAAAGCAGTGACCAGGATTCTGTCGACGATAACTGCCCACCCGTTCGGGTCTTTGCCGGCTCGCGTCACACGTGGCTGCTGCGGCGTTGTGGTCGTCTGTGGGCCAGCGGCTGGTGCGCCTACGGACAGTTGAGTCTAGATTGCAAGCAGTCCTATTTGGACAGCTTCCACAATTTGTATTCCGTTCTGGGGCTAGAAGGCGATGATGTCGACATCTTATGTGGGCCCTGGTCAACCCTGCTTATCTGTTCAAAATAAATATTGTGATAGATTTTCAACTGAAGACTATTTTATACTCAACATTTTCTCTAAGGCTTAGACGTATTCAATGTTTATGTTATGATGGGTGGTTACACACAATAAATACTTATACACTGAAAACTCTCTTGGCAGGCCAATTTTTGTCCGCCCAAGGGGAGTGTCGTGTGTCCGCTTAAGGGGATACTTAAATACTTTATACAGCTATCGAATGTTTTAGAAAAAGTTTCCGGATAAAAGAGGCGTCCATCAAGGGAGTTTTCACTGTAAATACATACATACATACATAATACATACAACTAGAAAGTTTCACAAAATTTAAAGTAGACCCAGGGTTATTGGTGGCTAACCAATTCGGAAGTACACACAAAACATATGTAGCTCAACGAGCTACAAGAAAATCCCTGATGTGAGTTCCCTTTTCTTTTTGAGTATGACTCGGTTCGAATCACGGCTCTACCATTCGCTGTATTCACTGTAAATGCATACATACATATATGCAAGGCCTTTCATAGCTCATCGAGCTACAAGAAATCCCCTAATGTGAGTTCCCTTTTCTTTCTGAGTATGACTCGGTTCGAATCACGGCTCTACCATTCGCAAAAGGCATGATTTCAAAATTACTTGCAGTTTTTATAAGTTCTGTGAAAGTGGGCTCATATCTAATAAGTGTCAATCTGTCGCGCAGCCACGATCCCGCAGCAAAAACAATAAATAAATAAATAAATAAACACTTTAATTAAAGCCCTAGAATTTACTAAATTGTCGTCAACCTACGATGTAAAAAGTGACTTAATATTGTCTGCAAAGTGGGAAACGCATTCCATTACAATTGTGAACATCATTCTAAAGTTTAAAATATTTGGTTTCTCTGTGTTGATTGAACCTACAATTTTGTTTACATCGACAGATTTTGGAATCAGGACAGCGATTTCTAAATTAATACAAATATTTCCCAAAAGTAGTTTAAAAATCTAAAATTAACGGCATTTTAAGTTTAAGGCGATCCTTAACATGTATTTTTCTGAGTGTAGAATGTAGGGGTCTGTTCCACTACGTTGGTCGCATTCAAATAAAAGCTGCCTGCTATATTAGTGGCCTGGTGGGTTAACGTCTCCACTAAATTAGACCGCTGAACGCAGTCAAGTCTCGAACCTTGCAGTCGTTAGCTGAGAAAAAAGTAAAAAATTACACTGTCCAACATTAAAGAGTGTTTTTAATCTAGTAAATTATTTTCTTTATATATAACTGCAGTTGTAAATAATGTTTTAGTGAACAAATCATGTGCAGTGGAGTATTGTTCATTATATCATGCAGGCTCAACACTGCACAAAATAAGTTATACAAACGTTTTTTACCTTTTGTATTTATTAATATAAATACATATTTATACCCTGTACCCAAAGGGTACAAGGGTGTATTAGTTTTGTGCGAGTGCACATGGAACACACAGAAGGAGGCTTGGTAGACCCCACAAAGTATATATATTCTTGATCAGCATGACAAGCCGAGTCGATATAGCCATGTCCGTCTGTCCGTCTGTCTGTCTGTCTGTCTGTATGAACGCAAGGATCTCCGAAAGTATAAGAGCTAGAATAACCAAACTTGGTATACAGATTCTCCTGAGACCGAGAAAGGACGAGTTTGTTAATTTTTTCTGATCCGCCCCCCCCCACTCCCCCCCTATTACTGATTTTCTATAACTCCCGTAATTCTTGGAATTTTGAGCTAAAATTTGGTAGTCACATTATACCAAGAATACCAAGTTTCATTATGATAAAATGATCGGAAAGAAAGTTATAGCCATATAACCAGGCCCAATGCACACATACATACATATGTACAAGTACACAAACACGCATAAGGCACGATTCTGATGTAAATGTAAATGTATGTATGCATGCATGGAATATTTTATATTTAATTAGTTAATATTTAGTTAATTAATTAAATTTATTTAGTTAATTAATTTAATTTAATGAATTAATTAATTAAATTACTTTTTTGTGGGGTGGTACAGGGTATTTAAGAGTTGAGCCTGCTCGACTTTAGCATTCCTTTCTTGTTTTAAAATAACAAACTTCAATAACAAATTCCAAGTTCAAAAAAATGTGTAGGATTGTACATTTTTGGTGAAATATGTGTATGAATTCTTCTATAAATACCACTGGAAGTATGTTTTTAAAATTATTTCAATAGGCATGAGAGATAGTAAAATACAACAATGTGCTATATATTTATTTGGACAAGTTGCTCATCACGTTTCAAATAAAATTTGTACAATTAAAAGCACAAAGAAAGAGTCGGAAATTGTTTTGTTGATATTGTACAGCTTTATTGTTCTATTATTTAAAGCATAGTTGTTATCAACTTATCACTTGTGAAGGCTTTCAAAGTTCATTTGGGATTTACTATTAATATTTACGGCAAGTATAGACTGATCCCAAAAGTGACAGACTTTGTTGAATATTCTAAAATCAGTCCCAATATTATATACAAGTATATGTAAATATTCAAAGTTTGCTGGGCGGTAATTGAGAATTGTTTGAAAAAATATTCGTAATGGGTAGAACATCAAAAGCGCAAATAAAACCCGGTTATATGCCATTTTATCCGATACAGATATCCCTGATACAATTTTAGAAGTTTTGGTAAGCTATAAAAAATAAATGAAAATGAAAAAAAATTACGCAAAGCGGTACTTCTGCGTAAACTTCTTATAGATTCTTTTACGATAAATCGAGTTGCCTTAAATTTGATGACAAAGAAAAGGAAGAGAGCGTTACTGTCCAGCTCTCGGCAGTCTTAGCATATTGCTGCCTACGGGCCCTACCCTTTCTGGCCGATCACAAAACGTTGTTAACACCTGTGCCATATCTGGCTAGCTTAACCTAATCTAACCCAAAAAGTAAGTAGAGAGCTATGAACAGATAACGGGTGCAAAATTTGATTGTGCTTTGAGGAATTTTGCAGCAATAGTGGCGTAATATCGCGGTTAAGGCTTTTGAAAAAAACAAAAAATAACTCAATTAGTTTTGAGATAATTGTCGAACGGTTCTATAACTTTTCCTCCCCATTTTGTGCAATCAGCACTGACTTTATGGCAACAATAACAACATATTTTACAGATTTGGTCGCGATGGACGTAAGCCGAGTGTTAAGGGGAAAAAATTTGAGGAAAAGAGTGTATAGTTTGGGGGTAAAAAGTTCTTCTTCTTCTGGTGGTGTTTAGATGGGCAATTAAATATAGGTCGTTGGCACACTATATCCTAGACATGGGCTGGGAATGTATTACATGGAAATCAGGATCATTACGTTTGCTTAGAAAGCAGTAGGCTTATTTGAAAAATCATTAACAAAAAAATTGAAAGTTTAACGTCTTTACAAGGCAGTAAGAGGATGCCGTAAGTTCGATGTCTATTTAAGTTTTTGCAGCAAAAGATCTGCTGATTCCCTGTTCCAACTCTTCCAGCAGTCCGAGCATATTTTTTATACTTTTCTGGCGTATTGCTGTGAGCGTGCTATATCCTTATGGCTACACTGATTGCTTTATACAGGACGTGCTCGCTGACTCGATGCAGCCGAACAAGAGGGAGCTGTTGCATCGCCGATGGTTTCTAAATATCCGGGACTCCTTCCAGACAACTCTAATGCTGGTCATGATGATGGAGGTAATGCATCTGATCGACAGAGGACTCATTCCAATTGCGCAGCTGTAGGAAAATTAATTTTGTTTCTCTTTGTATGCTTTTCCCTTTTTTCTCTTTTTCTCTCTCTCTCTCTCTCTCTGGCTATCAAAAGTAAACAGGCACAGTCGCGTCAAGTGCTTCGTTCTCTGCAAGCAAGCACAAATTATTTTGTCTTGGGGTAGGGCCGAGGCGACGTATGCGCCATTGTTGACAACTTGGGGGCATTGTCGTTGCGGCGAGCGTTGTTTTTGCCACTGCCGCTGCTTTTCTGCGTGTAATCAGTAAATTTTATTTTTAAAAATGTTATTAAACAATATTTGCTTTAGCAAAAGTCAGACATCACGCACAGTGCAATAAACTTTTCAGCACTTCTACTTTGTGTCGCACTTAATGTCTGTCGATTGGCCTCTGGTGCGTTCATTACTTCGTCCCCCACTGCCGCCCAGAGGCGGGGAATTTCGAAGAAACTTGCGATAACTACACACACAGATATGTATTTACTTCTTCTGTGGTCGGGTATGACCTGTTCGGACAATTATTGCGTTGCACACTCAATGTTCAGATCGCTGTGAATTTTTGTACTTTCAGCTTATATGTAAATGTGTTTTTGTAAAATTAAGTTAGGTTGTCTTATTTCTTGCGGAAATGCTAAGGTGTTCTTTCTGAGAATCGTAAGTCAATAGTTTTTGAATGTATTCAAGAAGCAGAGAGCCGGGAATGCTTCACAAACATGTGCAGAAACAGAGTTCTTATAGCCAACCAAAATTCATTGTGGAAAGACACTTTTCAAGTAAAAATGTAACTCTTTTCTAAGAGATCTTCCATAATTCTTGTGTGGCGTAGAGAGATTAATGATCGTTTCAACCCAACTGTCTGCTAAGCACATTCGAGCTCAACGCATTTTTATTTTATTTGCCAAATGAAAAAATAAAAAATAAAAATTTATCTTAAGACTTAAGCACGAGTCGCCGGAATGTTGTTGGTGTGCGTAAATAAACATTGCTTTCGGGATTTGCCCGCCTTATACGAGTAGTATGGGCACAATTTTTGAGCAAACTTTGTTATCGAATTTATGGAGGACTTTGCGTGGTTTTTGCGATTTTGCTCACTCGTGTTGTTGTCACTTTTAGGCCGGCTGTGCGCAAAAGACAATAAGAGAAGAACTGCCTGCTACTCGTACCAGGAATTAGCGCTTGCCAAGGGTGCTCGGGTGGAGAAGGGAGCAGAGCAGTGACTGCGAGTTCAAGCTCCTACCTCAAGGCAGACGTTTCTTTTTTTCAGCTTATCAGCTAAACACTTGAAATGCCGACGGACCGACCGACCATTTGCAAAATAAAGAACACGAACGTAGTAAGAAAACAAAAATATGCTGCACTTATTTTGAAAAAGTGCTAATTGCGTGAGTGTGCGTGTGTGTGTGTGTGCGTGTGTGTGTGTGTTAACATATGATGATATGTGGCTGTGTGCTGTTTTCGTTACTGCCACGAAAATTGTAATTCATGCGTGGCAGCAGACGCCAAAGTTTCAACAGAAATCAGTCAGTCATAACCGAAAAAGTGTAGAAGAAGAGCTTCAGCAGGCATAGGAGGTGGGGAAGGGGGGGTTCGTGAAATAGGGGGAGCAGGGGCAGTAGGCGAATGTTTGTTTGCTCAGTGGCTCAAAGTGCGTGCAGCGCTACATGCAAGCCACTGGGCATACATATATACTCGTAGGTACCGATGTGGTAGTAGCATTCCTTACAGTGGAATGAATCTGAAAAAGAAACGGCAGATTTTCGAACATACGCCGCAACTGTGGAGTGCCAAGAGTGAAAGCCGAAGCTGCAAAAGTTTGGCAAATTAAAGATAATAATGCGAGTATGCTGCCAGAATACATAAGAAGTTATCTGAAGGTATGCCCTTTACTCTCCTCTGTGACAAAATCTTTATTCCAGTTATGACAACAATATAGTATTCTGTTTATTCCATTTGAAAAACCAAAAGTTTTTCGTACAAAATCTCTTATTAAGTCATAGCGTTTGTAAGGCAGCTGTATACCATAGAGATCTGACAAGCTAGATTTAAAACCGAATTGATTATAACCTATCATAGATACATACAATGTAGTGTTCTGTTTATTCCATTTGCTTACAAAAAAATCCAAAAGTTTTTCGTACAAAATCTCTTTTTAAGTCATGTTGTTTGTAAGACAGATATTTAGAGATAGAGGGATCTGACATACAAGATTCAAATCCTAATTGATTGAATCAGGTTGAAATATCTTATCATGGTCACCATATAAGTATAGTACATACAATATAGTGTTCTGTTTATTCCATTTGATTCTAATATCTTCATAACCCAAAGCTTTTTGTACAAAATCTTTTTTTAAAGTCATATCGTTTCTAGGCATCTATGTATATACTACAGTGCTGCTAGATTTAAGACCGTAATAATTGAAATATCTTATCACCATATGCATACTGTTATGTGAGGTGTACAATAAGTCCTTCTAAAGAAAATAAAGATGTAAATATGTTTGTCATAATACACTATACTTCAAAAAATACAATATTGATACATATATAGTATATATATAAATGGAAGTACGTATGTACATATGTCATTGGATAAACCGAATTTCTTTTCCGATTTTTCTCATTTTTTCCAAATAAATTATTATATTTATAAATTACTCCTTAATGGACTTTTTCGATTTTCATTCCATTTTAGTTTTTTGTTTCAATATGAAAATAATGAATTCAGCTCACAGCGGACCAATAGACCAATACGAATATCTAATAGGGCGGCATATAAACAATCAAGTATATATATAAAATGCAATAATGCATGCAAAACTGAAAGATCCAAGTTCTGTTAAGAATGGAAGGCGCCCTAAAGCTAACGTTTTTAGACGGGTAGCAACTCAAGTACGATTTAATATTTTCTTTACAAAAAAGACAAATTCAAAGAACATTTTTGGATACATTGGAGTTAAATAAAAAGAAAAAAAATGTCTTTTGAAGAAGAGTTCATCAACAACATACCGCACTAACTGGAGATATCAACATTAATCCACATCGTTATCTTTGGGGCAGCTTGGTAACCATTTTCTGGGAATGATAGCGATAGCCGAGTTCTGTGAAAGAATATTTAGTTGCTGGGCACTATGAGAAACTTTTCCTAGTAGCCATAGCTTCAAATAGCGGTTCTCTTCTATAGTTTTGGCTTCTTCCACTGTGCGCCTGCGTGACCAACATCAAAATGCGAATAGAGTTAGGGGGCTTGACGCTCTGGCAACCCACCTCTCATCACCCCAACACCCTGACCTACCTTGACGCATTGGTGTGCACCGCGGCGTAGTCGGTGGCAGTTGCTGAAATGATTGCCTATTTACTTTTGGGCGTACATTGAACCACATACGAGTATGTACATACATACATACATACATACATACATACATACATACATACACACATACATACATGTGTGAGAGTACAATCCAGCCCCTAATCACATGTCATCGCAGTCGTTGTTGCTGTTGCTTTTGTTTTTCACTAATGACTTGCCTTAAAGTTGTCTCCTTCTCTCCCTTTCTCTCTCCCACTCTCTATATGGGTAGTGGCTTATTGTGCATTCTGCTCCCGCCCGTCACCTTTTCATTAACATTTGCAGTGCATTTTCTTTATTTTTCATTTTTTCTCCTCACACAAGGATTATGAAAATGTTCCCAAAACGCTTTGGCATCCCAAATGTATAAAAAGCCGCCCTGCTGTTTGGGCATAAAAATTATGCATGCATGTATTTGCATCGTTTGCCACCCACACACACACACACACTGACACACACACACACACATGCCAACATGCATCACATGCTCATTCACATTCATGTCCAAATAAAAAGTTGCCCTCGACTAGCCCGAAAAAAAAGTGGAGAGCGAAAAATGAGAAATAAAAATACAAAAACGCAGCGTCGCATTTTTACGGCTCCATTCATGTGACGAGGACGACGGAAGTGTCAAGTGGCTGTTGGCAAGTCGTCGTCGTCGTCCTCGTCCTCGTCGACAACCAATTCTCATCCTCATCGTCCTTTTCGTCAACGTCGCCGTCGTCGCTGCCATCGAAAATGCCGTTATTGTTGCCAGTTGTCTACCCGCAGCCCACTGTCGAGCTCCAACTCCACCCACTGCTCTGCGGAACCATCAGACATCGTCTACGTGTGTAAAGTTCCATTTGGCTTTGTGCTGAGTTCTGGTTCTGGCTCTGGCTCTCTACGTCTGCCTCTGCCGCTGGCTCTGCCCCTGCCTCTGCCGCTGGAGTGGCAAACTTTTCTTCATATGCTTTGTGCGGCGCGTCATTCTTATGCCCTTCATTTAGGCTGCTTTGTTGTTTTGGTACAGTTTACAGTTGTTCGGCATAAGTAGCATATGAACCATATACGTACATACATACATACATATGTATGTATATAGTATAAGTACATATGTATGTATGTAGTAAGTAAGCATAAAGCAGGTGCCTTTAGCTAGGAACAGTCAAGTTTGTCATTTGAGCTGAGCTTTTGACTAGCGTGTCACTCAGATGGCTCCTTTGATAGACAAGCTCCATTGGATGTCAAGCGAATGTTCGTCGATTCATATCGGAAGGCTTCAAAACTCAGTTTTAGTGAACTTTATGATTAAAAGGGACAGTTGAAAGAAACATCATACATTAAGCAGCCAAAGCAAAAACCAACTACAAGCATTTTCCCATTATTCAAAATTCTAAAAATTAACCATTTAAACAAAAATGTTTCTTTTTTTTAATTACTTTTCCATAAAATATTTTAATAAGAAGTCCTTAATCCACATAAATTAAGCAGCCAAAGCAAATAATGACTACAAACATTCTTCCATTATACAAAATTCTAAAAATTACGCATTTCAACAAAAATGTTTCTTTTTCAAAATTTGTATTCACCAAAGGAGTATGTTGTTTTCATTATACTTTTCCATAAAATATGTTAATAAAAAGCCTTTAAGCCACATAAATTAAGCAGCCAAAGCAAATAACGACTACAAGCAATTCTCCCATATTTGGAATGCTAAAAATTATAGTTTTAAACCAAAATATTTTTTCTATTTTGACATTTGTTTACTTTTGCTGAAAAAACATATTTTAATTATACTTTTTAATCAAATATTTTAATAATAAATCTTTAAGCTTTATAAATTAAACAGCCAATGCAAACACGACTACAAATGTTATCGTCCATTATTTGAAATTCTAAAATGCATTTTATCCAAAGTCTCATTTCTTTTTTCACATTTGTTTACTAAATAACTATATTTTGATCGTACCTTTGCATATAATTAGCTTTTTGATATAAACTAGAGCCGACAGTTAAATCGATTTGTTTGATTCTCGATTAATTTTAATTTATTTCAATATTGGTATCATAATATTTCTTCACTGATAAAAGTATTTATATATATGAAGTATTCATGTAAAAAAGCAACAAAAAGTGGTTGGAATATCATTCATATATTTATTTATCAATTTACATTATTGTACATTCTTGGAATAATTTCAATGTTAATTTAAAATCAAAGATTTCATTTTGTGGGAGTTTTCTAAAAGAAAAACGAGAAAAACATTAAAGACGTCCGAATCTAACTCTTGAATACCCATTATCCCCGTTATATCATGTATTTATTATGACGATTTTGATAAGACTATGTAAATGTTGTGGCGTTGTTTGAAACAGTTAACCAATTTGCTTATTTATTTATTAAAAATTCTTGGTAATACGCTGGATTTCTGCACCGATCGTTTCTATAGCAGAAACCTCAGGATACAAATTAATTGCATACAAAAAAAAAAAAAAATAATAAATACAATAAATTGTAGTAGGAGAAAATTTGTCTAAAGCTAAGCTAAGATTCTTTCTTTTATTGGAATACCTCATAATAGTTTTAATGAGTCTTAATTGTATTTCAATTTGTGGCTTTACCTTCAAAAGCCTTCAAAAATCTCTGCATGTATAAACGACACTCTGTTTTATTTGTATTGATATCTTTATTATAGCGCGACTTTGAACGCGCCCTTTACAAAGCACAATCTGATTAATTGCAGTTGGCCAATTGCATAGCCAACTGCCGACCAACCATGGACAACTACTATAGACACGATTACATGATAACGAGGCAATGGACATGCAGCATGCCCAGAAACACAAGAACACGAACCCAAACCCGAACGTGCCGACGTGCCCCCCAACTT